GGGAATTAAATGGAAGATGTTCTAAGTGTTTAAACACTAAATAATTAGTGCATATCACATCCCCAAACTAGAACTGTTGTTTGTCCCCAAGCAACCAAAAGACCACTAAAAATGACTCAATTTTTGAAAAATTTGCATGAAAGTGCACACCACATGTTAATCATACCAAAGATGTAATATATMGCTTTTTGTAGGATCGATTAACTCGGTTCTTGTATTAACCCAATACTCTCAATGATCTATATGACATAAACAGTGCAGTGGAAACAATATTAAGAATTAAAAAGAGCAATGAATCAAGAACAATGAAGAACAAGCAGACAATCAATATTAAGAACACACGAGAGAGAAGCTTCAAATGTATTTCAATTGAATTGAAATTAGATGATTACAATGCTGGAAGCGGCGCTGATTACAAAGGAGAAAGCTACTATATAAAAGAAAGCTATATACATAAAAGAATAAAGAATTAAGACAACCAATAGCTAGGACTCTGGACATGTCATTCCAATTTTCTCTACAATGAAATTAAACCTTTTCTCATCTAGGGCTTTTGTAAAGAGGTCAKCCAATTGAAATTCAGATTTAACAAAGTATAACTCGACGTTACTTTCTTCAACTTGATGTTTAAGAAAATGGTACCTTATGTCGATATGCTTTGTCTTAGAGTGTTGAACTGGATTGGCTGAGATTGCAATTGCATTCTTTGAATCACAGAGGATGGAGATTTTGTTGACAGAGTAGCCGTAATCGCATAGTTGGGTCTGCATCCACAGAGCTTGTGAACAACAACTAGCAGCAGCCACATATTCAGCCTCTGCAGTGGAGGTTGAAACACAATTTTGTTTCTTTGACGACCAACTCACAAGTTTTCCTCCAAGGAATTGGCAGCTCCCAGAGGTGCTCTTTCTGTCAATTTGGCATCCACCATAGTCTGAATCCGTGTACGCCACTAGGTCAATGTTTGAATGCAGAGGGTACCATAGTCCAAGCGTTGGTGTCTTCTTTAGATAGCGCAGGATCCTCTTTACTGCACTTAGATGTGATTCTTTTGGATTGGCCTGATACCTGGCACATATACATGTAGAAAACATCATATCAGGCTTGCTTGCAGTTAAGTATAAGAGGGATCCTATAATACCTCTGTAGAGTTTGCACTCTACAGGTGGACCATTAATGTCCTTATTTAGCTTCTGGCCTGGGGCCATTGGGGTCCTCATGGGAGAGGCTTCGAGCATCTTGTACTTCTTCAAGAGGTCATGAACATATTTCGATTGGTTTATTAATATGCCTTCGGATGATTGCTTGACCTGTAGACCTAAGAAGAAGGTGAGCTCTCCCATCATGCTCATTTCAAATTCATTCTGCATAAAAACCTCGAATTCTTTGCACATAGAAACATTAGTCGCACCAAAGATAATGTCGTCAACATAAATTTGCACAAGCAAGATATCATCATTCATTTTTTGATAAAATAAAGTAATATCTGTTGTACATCTATGAAACACATTGGAAGTAAGAAAGTATGATAAGCGATCATACCATGCTCTGGGAGCCTGCTTGAGACCTTACAGAGCCTTGTCCAAGAAGTAGACGTGGTTAGGATACTTATCACTCTCAAACCCTGGGGGTTGCTTGACATATACCTCCTCTTTGAGCTTACCATTCAGAAAGGCTGATTTAACATCTATTTGGAATACCTTGAATCCTCTGTGAGCAGCAAAGGCTAGAAAGATACGAATAGCATCCAGTCTTGCCACAGGGGAAAAGGTTTCTTCATAGTCAATGCCTTCTTCCTRGCAATACCCTTTGGCAACTAGCCTTGCTTTGTTCCTTACCACTACCCCTTGCTCATCCTTCTTGTTGCGGAAAACCCACTTGGTGCCAATAGCAAGTTTCCCAGCTGGCAGAGGTACGAGTGTCCAAACCTGATTTCKRTCAAAYTGAACTARCTCGTCTTGCATAGCATCAACCCAGAAGGTGTCTGCCAGAGCCTCTGCAACTGTTTTGGGTTCTATTTCGCTTACATAACAAGTGAATAAGCAAAAATTCGTCGTTGCTCGCGTCCTTACACCTGCAGAAGGTTCTCCTATGATTTGAGATTGGGGATGGCTTTGGGTCCACTTGTTAACATGCTGTGGTGGAACAGAAGGCACAGTTTCTTGTGCAATTTGAAGATGAGGTGGAGATGCAGAGTCTTGATTAGGTTCTTGAGCTTCATTAGAGGATGAGACTGGAGGACTTTCAATTATTGGAGCAGCTTCTAGTGGAGAAGCTTCTTGGGAAGAGGTCACAGAGGATGAAGGGAGGGGAGCTTCCTCTGTGAGAAGTGTTGTGGAAGGACTTGCTCTGGATGCTTGATCTGGATGAACAACTTCTGCAGAGGATCTTTCTGGTTCTTTATCATCTTCGTATCACTCTGCAAAAAGTTGCTCGAGGTCTGGGGTGATTGTAGCATTGGGCGATTTGTCGGCTTGAATTTTCAATTCTTTTGTGAACTTGTCCTTTGTCACTTGAAAAGTATCATCAAGTTTGACATTTGTACTAACAACAACGATTTGAGTCCAGGCTCTGTATGCGGCAGTATCCCACGCATAGCCAATGAAGATTGCATCATCCCCTTTGGGCTTAAATTTTCCCACAACCTCTCTGTCATTTAGAATGTAGCATTTACAACCAAATACATGGAAGAACTTGATGTTTGGCCTTCTATTGTGTAGAAGTTGATAGGGGGTCTTCTCAAAGCRTTTCACCACCAAGGACCGGTTTTGAGTGTAGCAAGCGGCAGAGACAGCTTCTGCCCAAAAGGATAGTGG